CTGTAGTAGTGGTGGTAGTAGAAGTAGAACTCTATGAAAAGTGCCAAATAGATAAAGATTACTTACTTACACTTATGAAACCAAATACAGTTTAGACCATGTCAAAGTCAAGACAATTTTTCTCAGCAAAACAACCACATTTTATGTATTCTAACATTATAACACATCAACAGAAGTGAAACAGTTCAAATAGTTCAAAATAAAATTTGTTTAACTTTATATTTGATCCAGTTTTGGTTCAATCTAAACAATAAACGTATTTTGTTTTCAGAAAAATCAACAATGAAACTCATGTCACTTTAAAGTCATGTTAAAATACCTTCATTGTCGGCCCCTGACAAGTTCCAATTTTTTTAATCGGCCCCTGACCAAAATGAGTTTGACACCCTAAGAATATTAGAGTGTACAATAGTTGGCTATAAATGCTATTATCTATTTTCTAAACACGTGTGAAATAGCAGTAAAGTGCAACCAAATACACCAGGCGTCTCCAACCTGTAGCTCAAGAGCCACCAGTAGCTCGCCACCCCCTTCCAGGTAGCTCACCAAAGGATTTAGAGATGAACGAATCACAGAATATAATAATATAATATTTCAGATTATATTTATCATTATTATGTATTATTGTGAATGCTCTTACTTTGTCATTAGTAACAAATATGGGATGATAAATAATGTCTGTACCCAACATCAGGCTAGTTCTCACCAATTTATCACCACATTTTTCCCAGTGCCGCTTAAAGGAGTAGCTCTCTGCCTTTATCGTCCCCGGGAAAGTAGCTCTCTGGGTGGAAAAGGTTGGAGACACCTGGAAGACACGATAGCTCTGGGGATGCTAACGCTATATGATAAACACAAGGACAATCCATCCGCTTGCTTGTAAAACTTCAACACCACTTCTACAAAAACTGTTCTGTCCTCTCCTGTTTTCAGAGCTGTAGATGTGAACTTAAAGCTGTTACATGAATCCAATCCTCATAACGGAGAACTATCACTTTAGTTTGTGGCCTTAACCAAACTGATTATATACCAGACGATGTATACTGTACGTACGTTTTATGGTCCGATTCTCTTTGATTTGTTGTTTATTGCTTCGGTTACTCGTGCCACAGTCACCAATGCTCTTGGCTTTAGCTTTCTACACCTCTGTGCTTCTGTTTTTAAAGGTTTCACCAGGTTTAGCGCCCCCTATGGACAGTGAAAAAGTATAAGTGGATTGATTCAACAGTAGAAAGTTGCAACCTTTACCTTCAGTCCATGCTTTTTCCATGTGTGGAAACGGCTGCATCCTGAGTGTGGTGTCCCCCAAGGGTCGACCCCTGGGCCTTTTCCACTTCTCACCTGTTAACACATAGAGGTTGTTCGCCGAAAAAACCCACAAAATGATCATAAAAGAATTTACCTAACAAAATTAGCTTGGACAAACATCTAAAAACAGACAAATAGCTTATTTTTGATTCTCTGATCTGTTGAGGAATGGACAACCTTGTAAAGATCTCTGAGACGAATGCTGTTGATTTTGGGCTCTACAAAACTAGATTCTTATTTCCCATCGTTTTATTATCCCCTTCTTTCCTATTGAAATACAATTCTCCAACATGAATCAATTACCCATTCATGATTTTGTTTGGATCTATACTTTGAGCTGTCTGTAGGGGATCTTTCTCATTTCCACTGCTTGTTCTTAGCCTTCAACACGCGAACGAATGTACCGCACACAGAGAAGTTGTCGGTGAAATGTCTATTGAGAACTCGGCTGGTGTTCTGGCCTGTCATACTTTAATGAGAGTTTATAGATAGCAATACTGGTGTTACTGTACGACGGTGTGGCAATGCGGAAATGTGAAATGTGAGTTTTTTAGAAAGAAAAATAAAAAATAATCCAATGTTGCACCAAAATATTGTGTGTTTTCTTATTAGATAGTTCTTGTACATATTTGTTGCCAATAAAACTAAGATGAAAATGCCTTGAAACGAACAGGACTCATCGTGAAAGTCAGAAACCAAAACACAACACACACCGATGGCCGTCTCAGTCTCTAGGCCTGAATATTACTGAACATTTGTGATCTAAAACCCATCAAACCTGATTGAACTAGAGATGATCTGCAAAGAAGAATGGTCCAAAATACCTTCCACCAGAATCCAGACTCATGTTTTGCCTTGAGCCTTCAGAGCAGGCCTGTGAGCCAAATCCGGGCCGCAAGACCATTTTAAGTGGCCCCTGAAATGACTTTAAATTGTCTTTATCGCACTAACTTGTAGCATTAATGATAAGGGACTACCATGGCATGTTATACTTAATTTTAAAACCTATTGTCTCAGGAATATCTGTTCTAAAATGGTAGCTAAAATTGTATTAGAAGTCATTGTGCAGTTTTATGTAGCAGTCTTCCAATGCTCACCTAAGATATTACATTTTGCCCAGTTGTGGTAGAATCCAAAACTACTAACCCAAACTAACATCCAAACTTCAATCAAATACACTTAATTCGTCAAAAACGTTTACTTTTTCTTCTGGCCCAATTTGACCCATGACCAAAATGAGTTTGACTCCCCTGGTTTAGAGGTTGTGACTTCTGCGAAGGAGGATGTACAAAATATTGAGTTAATTTTCATTTTATGCACATGCCTAATTTGGTTTAATTTGTATTTGCACAATTTCTCTAAATAATACAAACTTTATCTCACACCTCAAATATCACTGTGTTTGTCTCCTATATGATATATTTAACAGACATTTTGTATCCGGTGTGAATCAATATTATGGACGTATCTTACCATTTCAAAGTTGAGGACAGAACGAACTCAGTCACAACAGTTTGAAAGAGACAAAATATTGTGTTTTATTATTAGACTTTGTATTGGCAAAATATATATTACAAGAACTGAGAAAAATGCAGCATTCATAGCCCCCCTTCAATACAGCTTTAGTTTTATCCAATGACAATAAATAACATTATTCACTTTATTACAGAACTATCACATTATTGTATGTTTTTATTTAGCGAGAATATCAAATGCCTTTCTTCAACCAAGCGACAAAATCTTTTACTGAGTTCCAGCAGTACAGACAGCTCCACGCAGCTACATCCACAGCACAAAGCATCACGATCACATAGAGCTTTCATTTGTACACACTTTTCATAAATCTATTTCCACCCAATCCCCAGATGTCTGTCCGTTCAGATAAATAGTTTCTGTGACATCCCTTCCCGAGCAGAAGTGACCAGCTCTGGCTCTCCTGGTCTTGTGCCGAAGGTGTGCAGTGGTTCTACTTAAATAAGACCATGTTTTATACGCTCTCATGCATTTATAAAATTGGCCATGATTTGCCAGTGAAACATACAGTGTTTCCCACACATAGACTAATCTGTGGCGCACCGCCACAGATTAGAGACCGCCCGCCACAAATTGCGTTTCGTATTATTATATATATATTTTTTTTGTTACGCTATTTAAAACATGCATCGTCTAGTGCCGCCGCAGCGGTCAATTTGACAGCGGGGAGGGGGGTTTAAAATGTGGCGGCCCTTCGTAACTCTCACTCAAGCTACGCGTCTCTCCCACATACAGAGACCTACACACACACAGCCCCTCCCCTTCGTGCACACCGCGTGTCTCCGTCTCCATCAGCGATCATCGCTGTAAGCAGCTGTGTCTATTAATTTACCGCGGTAAAGTGGCCCGCATCTTTCAGCTCTATGAACATGCGGCCCGCATCGGGGAAAAGACGGTGCGCGTTTTGTTGAGAACTTACGGTAACAGCGGAACGTCCTTTCGGAGTCACCCATTTTTATCGAACAGAAAGCGCGCTGGGGTCAGGAAGACACGTTTTTGTGATTAAAACCTTATAGAGATGCCACCCGGCACACATAGCACCAGCCCCCTACGATTCCTCCGGCAGATTGTGAGTCCTCAGGAGGATAGCCACTCTATTGTTTACATGTATAAAGTACACAATTTGGTCCGCTAGTGCAATTTTCAAGTATTGTAACTATTTACTGGAATAAGGTGTGCGACTAATTTCACTTGACTCATGACCTTATTATTGCCCTCTGCCACTGTACCAAAGACCAGAAACTTTTACTGTAGAAATATTGAGAAATATTGAGGTAAAGTAGCCATTTTGGTCCAAAATACCTCCAAAATAGTCAAAACATGTCACTTTTGATCTACTGTAACTTTTTACTGTAAAAAGGTGTGCGACTAATTTCACTGGATTCATGACCTCAAGATTGTCCTCTACCACTGTACCAAAGACCAGACACTTTTACTGTAGAAATATTGAGAAATATTGATTTAAAGTAGCCATTTTGGTCCAAAATAGCCTAAAAATGGTCAAAACATGTCACATTTGATCTACTGTAACTTTTCACTGTAAAAAGGTGTGCAACTGATTTCACTGGATTCATGACCTCAACATTGCCTTCTACCACTGTACCAAAGACCAGACACTTTTACTGTAGAAATATTGAGAAATATTGAGGTAAAGTAGCCATTTTGGTCCAAAATACCTCCAAAATAGTCAAAACATGTCACTTTTGATCTACTGTAACTTTTTACTGTAAAAAGGTGTGCGACTAATTTCACTGGATTCACGATCTCAAGATTTTCCTCTAGCACTGTACCCCACTCCCCCCCCCCCCCCCCGCCGACGACCACCACACATTGCCTTCAAACCTGTGGGAAACACTGACATACTTTACAAAAACACAACAGTTTGATTGGCAATTTAAAGAAACTCATAATGAACTCAAGCTAAAGCCTTAATGACATGATTCAAAGTATAAAAATCCACATTCTTAGTCCTGCTTTGACGCTGGGCAGCTGAAGCAAACACTTTAACGCCAGAGAGAGCATCGCTGGCCTGGAGACACCCACTAGCCCCTCCATCTGCTACTTTCTTGTCCATATATTCTCAAAGGCATCTCAGTCTCTTTCGTTAAGGCCTCCAACCTCGCTTTGTAAAGTCTATTGTTGTTCTATTTTGCATGTTTTCAGATGACAACCAGCCTCATGACCTCTCCTCCGACGCTCATGCAGTAGTCGTGGTCTTCGATGATGGATTCTTGCAAAGCTTCGACCTTGTCACCCTGCAACTATAAACACAGATGTTAAAAAATAGCCAAAAAGGATGCAAAAATAGTAAGCAGTAACTTCACAACACATCCAGTATATATTTAGATGCTTGAGGGGAAAATATCATGTGAAATTATTTTTCTTTATACAGCTTTTGACCCAGTTATAGTTATTTTCATTTGTCTGGTACACACTACAAGTCGGTACCAGGGAGATTTGAGTGAGTTTGGGTCATTATACTTTCAAACAACCAAAAATAAACTATGCATCGTTAATCCAATCCATCTAATAGTTCCTCCCTCTAAAACAGTTTGATTTTGTCACTAGTTTTCACATGTATTTTTGTCCTCTGTCACAGCTTTAGATCAGCTTTTCCAGACAGAAAAGTGACAAGGAGAGGACCACGTTTACAAGAAATGCAATGATAAAAAACCCATAGAGCCATTGGTCCATAAGGAGCAGATAAATATCCGTAAATGTTGAATGTTCTGGACCATCACCGGTTGACAATGTGCCTCGACTTTATAACCAAAAATTCCCAGTCCATCTTGGTTTGTCCCTGTCTTTGAGTAGGAGCCAGTTCTGACCTTCTCCTCCTCGTCCTCCGACCCGGCCACCACGAAGTCGTCTCCCATGGGGCAGGCGTTCATGACCTCGGGCTGACGCGGGTTTCGATTGAACAGCAGGAAGTACGGCGTCTGTCTTGTCGAACGCTGACCAAACAGAGAAGATCACGTGAGTTTGAGGCTGGAATTATGGGTATTAAAAGATTGTTTGAAGACTTTTTGACCGGCACAAAAACACATTTTGAGAGGAAAACACAAACATCCAAATGCACAGGAGCAGAGGAACAGTGTTGTCATTGTATCAGTGTAGGAGGCTGCCTTCATGTGACATCACCTGTTTCGTGATGTTGTGTCCGTAGACCACAGCGGGCAGGTACAGGTCCCAGTCCGAGTGTCCCTCTTTGATGTAGTCCCTGAGAGCTCGTTTGATGTTTTTACACGTCCTCTCGTCCTTAAAACAGAATATACTCATACACTAATCCACACCTTTTCAAAATCCTTGTATTGAAATCTCACCTGTCGTTTGGTTTGGTTCGGGTGAGCGATGGAGACCGAGTTCTTAATGTTCAAAGTTGATGAGATGCATTCGTTCAGCTGTAAATACATGTTGTAGTCAAGAAGAAGTCACTACCAACAGTCTGTGAGGGAGGGTGGCCAAACAGGAGGCACTATTGTACATGTCTCTAGTGGTGGGGGAAACAGGAGCACTCGGAGGAAACCTACACAGACACAGGGAGAACATGCAAACTCCACACAGGAAGAGCTGGAGGTGGAATGCTAACCACTGCAACATTGTGCTGCCTTTGTCACAATGGAAAAAGCATAAAATAATGGGAAAAAATGCAAACAGTAAAAATAACAGCAGATAGATCTCGACATGTTCCCTGGTTCTTCTCAACGTGAGGGAGCAGCGGCTCTACATCAAGATCCTCTGGTGTGACTGAGTTCCCCACATCCTCTCTGAGAGAAAAACCAAGCAAACAAAACCCATATGGAGCGCTTTTATCAGCAGTCCTTCAGGTCGTAAACATAGATCTATTATTATATCTGGGTCATGCGTTGCTAGCTTAAGCTCAACTCCAATAGTATTTATTGCCATTTGGGCAGATGACCAATGTCCATAAATGTTAATAATTGTCGTTAAATGTCCCTGTGACCCTATGATTTCTTTTGTCTTGAATACTTCAATTAAAAACAAATAAATGGCATGACTAAAATTGTTTATCTCTGTTTTTACCTGCATCATATTTAAGCCAATCAAAGGTATAAACTAAAAAAATGCTTCTGCTTAAGGTGCAGTTTAAGAGTAGTAGTTTTAGAGTAAAAACAGACAGACGGGAGACTACACCAAACCATCATCCATAGAACCTTTAACCCAGTAGTCCCCAACCCCGCGTGGGACATTCAAACCAGAGCAAGGAAAGAATCATTCCTTTTTGTATTTATTATCCGAGTCTAACCAATCCTTTATTTTTTTTAAATCAACCGGATTCTCTCCTCTGGTCTTGGTCATGTGACACGTTAGCACTGAAATGTAAATGAATGACACACAGTGACAGAATTCACCGTCCCAATTCTCACCCTTGCGCTTAATCAATCAAATAATTACACCGGGCGGCACGGTGGCTGAGTGGATAGCACTCTCGCCTCTCAGCAAGAAGGTCCTGGGTTCGAATCCCGGTCGGACCAGGGCCTTTCTGAGTGGAGTTTGCATGTTCTCCCCGTGTCTGCGTAGGTTTCCTCCGGGTACTCCGGTTTCCCCTACCACTAAAAATATGTCCAATAGTTCTGGCATGCGCCTCCTCCTCCTGGCGACCCCGCTCCCATCTCTGTGTGGAGTGAGAGACAAATGCCCAAAAATTAACAATTGTAAACCGCTTTGAGACTCAGATCTGCAGTGAAAAGGCGGTATATAAATAAAGACTACTAAAGACTACTACTAATTATCAACGCGCTAACCTGCAGAGCTAGGCTAACACTGAGCCTCACGTATTCGGTCTAATCCGTAGCGATCGAAGTGAATGATTTATTTTTCTCTATGGTTACGCCGACAGTTACCTGGTTCACAAACTCCTGGCCCTGGTCGGTGATGATCTTTCTGACGAGTCCAAACGAGTAGAGCTTGTTGATGACCGTGGCCGACACTTCAGCTGCGGATTTGTTGGGCAGAGCTTCGGCGATGACGTACTTGGTGTGAAGGTCCGTCAGCGTCAGGGCGAATTTGTTCAGACGGCTGGTTTCAGGGAGCGGTCCGATCAGATACAGCCCCAGCACCTCCCAGGCCTCCTTCACCTGAGACACACACGGATTACATAAAAACATTGGAGGGTTCATGTCTACTGAAAATATAGTGAAAATTATATATATATAGTGAAAGTATTTGTACATATTCACAGATGTGTATATTCCTGATTACCTAAATCCCCATTATGCTATTCTCACAATATTATCTTATAATTATTCTTATTTTCAGATTGCTACTTTAGTGTGGAATACTTTGCGAGCTACTGTGACAACCAATTTCCCTTGTGGATCAATAAAGTAAGTCAAGTCTCTCTAAAAATCTCCACAGCCGTATAAGCTCAGAGCTGGCATCTACTGGCGTAAAAGGGAGTTACAACCCTAATACATTTTGTGGAAAGTAAAAAAGTAGAGATTAAGTCTAGAATGTGCATGTTATTACATTTCTATAACAATTAATATAAATGCATAGTTTTCCTCTGTGTACTCCGGTTTCCCCTACCACTGAAAAAATAGTTCAGGGTGAGTGAGTGAGTGGTTGTGAGAGGTGTGTTCATTAACATGCTCTGTCCCAACCAAATAAACAATAAACACATAAATAGTGACTCACAGGACTCTTTCAAACAAGTCTGCAAAATATATCATGATTTATAATAAGACAAAGACATGTCCTGGTCTGATTTGTTCACAACATTTTACTTTTACAAGAGTCTTTCTGGTGGGACAAAAACATATACCAATTCATGAGAAAAGTTAAGGCCATAATGAATAGATTTTTATAAATGGGGAGAGACAAACACGATTGTTACCTTAATCACAGGTAAGACTGGACGCACGCTCTTCACTGCGTTCCTCAGTTGACATTGATGACAAGACTTCACCTGGAGACGAGAGAAGATGGCTCAGGTTTTCGACATTACACTCAGGATTGTGTTATTATTGTGAATGTATGTTGTCATTAGTAGTTATTAACTTTTGAATGCTCTGGAAACGCCAGCAAGTCCAAAGTTCAAGCTCTGAAACAGTTGTTGTTTTTAGTTTCATAATCATTATTTTTCTTGATTTTTTTATACCTGTCCATGTTGTTGCAGTAGTGTGTTCTTGGTTTTACACTACCAGAGCAGAGGATTCATGGTCCCAACCAAGCAGACCAAGCGTAAATCCACTGGAAAAATGCTAAATGCTAATAACGCATTCATAATTTCACTCTGAACCAGAGCAGAGAAAATGTTCTGAACCAAGCCAACTCTCCAAACATCACCCAGAGGAAGCAGCTCAATACCAGCAGCTACACCTCCTCTGCTGTGACCTTAGTGCTGCTGCATTTTATTACTAATGTTAGCTATATAATAATAAATAAGATGAATAAATACATTTTAATTATGGATTTATTTGTTTTGTTTGTATGGATGGATGTGTTTCTACTGCTGCTGGACACCTGAATGTCTCTTACAGGAATCAATAAAGTATCTATCTATCTATCTTATGGATCCATCTTGTACCCAGTCGACTACGTCCTTGTTGATGGTGCTCCAGTAGTATCCGGAGACAACGCGGTCCCTGGTGCTTCTGTTGCCCATGTGAGTCCCGGTCCCGGTGTCCACGTGGCTCTCCGTGAGGGCCAACCGCCGCTCGTCATCAGACAAAACCACCAGCCGCATGAAGGCTCGGCTCGGCCCCGTGTAGAAGAGTCTGCGGTCTGTTTTCAACAAAGGAACAGAACAAAAAACAGTCACGGAAAAGATGAGAAAACACACTCCACGTCTGAGAGATCCGAGACAATAATGAATCATGATATGTTTCCGCCAAGTATTGAAAGATCTCAATTCATCAAGTCGATACAATGTATTTTTGTGTAGCCTGTATGCTTAAAAAATACTAAATAAACAGGTATGACACAAACAAACTTCCAATAGCAAAACTTTTTAACTGCATATAATTTAGGAGAATCACAGTGAATGATGAGGTAAAAACTCACTCCTCCCAACTAATAATTTAGTAAGTAAGTAAGTAAGCTTTATTTATATACCGCCTTTCACAGACCAGAGTCACAAAGCGGTTTACAATTGTTATTTTTTGGACATTTGTCTCTCACTCCACACAGAGATGGGAGCGGGGTCGCCGAACAGGAGGCGCATGCCAGACCTATTGTACATATTTTTAGTGGCAGGGGAAACCGGAGTACCCGGAGGAAACCTACGCAGACACAGGGAGAACATGCAAACTCCACTCAGAAAGGCCCTGGTCCGGCCGGGATTCAAACCCAGGACCTTCTTGCTGAGAGGCGAGAGTGCTATCCACTCAGCCACCGTGCCGCCCTAATTTATCATCAAAATAAGTGTTTACCTGCTCTTCAGGCCCTTGCACTGTTACTAAATCATTAATAGCATCACTTGCTCTTATTTCTGCTCAATATTTAGAATTTTTTGTTTTGTTTCATTACAGGTCCTTAAATTTCATTGTCAATCAAGTTTGCCTCAGCTATGAAACGCACTCAGACACACACACTTATCTTTTTTAACCCAAGAAAAAAGTATAAAGAAGAGAATAAATGAGTAACCAGAGACCCAGCCTCACAAAGAGTCCAATCAGTTACTCCTAAAACAAATTGAGTTTTAGTGTTGTATAGTTGCGTCACCTTTAAAACCTAAACTCAGGTTGAAATTCGCTTTTTTTAACCCCCACTGACAATTATACTGTTTTTTGGGTTGTTGTATTCTTTTTAATCTATGACACATGGAGAGCCATTAAAGTGTAATATATAACATCCTATGATAAATACACACGCATCAATCAATCAATGCAATGACAGGGAAGGACCAATGTATCTAAACATTTTCTATTAAAATACGTGTATAATGTTAAATATGTTCAAATTGTTGCTTCCAGTTATTTACTATTTGGTAAAGGAAAGGGAATCGTATTTATTTACAATGTGTATGGCCAATCGATTATAAAGTATCTATTTATATTGTTTATAAACACACCCAATGCCACAAACAAACCAGAAATCTGTTCATTCTCAAAGTTTAGTCGTCTTTACCTTTAAGAACAAAATTGGGCGATGCTCTCCTGATTTTGCTTCTAAACCTGCGGTCCAAGTTTAAATGCATCTTTCCGTGCAGTTGATAATATTGTAAATATCGATAAAAAGTGAAATTGTCCATGATTTAAGCTAACGCGCTACCAGATCTGTGCTAGCAGCCTGACGCGTTCTGCGCATGTGCAAGAGCAGGCGGTTTCCTGTTTGAGCCGTGGAGACTGAAGACTACGGATGCTGCCCTCTACTGGTGAAATTTAGTACGACTCAGGGGAGAAGGACTTGGATCATAATTTGGATATATGTCAAAAATAGACTGTAAAGATGAGATAAGATAGACTTTATTAATCTCACACTGGAGAAATGTACATGTCACGTTTGGCATAGAATCACTCAGATTGTGCAAAAATACATAAGTGCGCAAACATGTTAAAAGTAAACGGACTTTACACACAGATTCTGGTTAGATGTGAATATTTCAGGGGGGATATCATCATAGCCCTTTTAGTTTCAGAGAAATCCCTTTTGGCATTATTGATAGAATAGGTCGATCTGTAATTGCAGTGTATGTATCGTTTCAAGCAAAAAAAAAAAGACTGGAGTATTGTTTACATGTTTTAAGCCGTGTATGTTTTAAAGCCGTGTATAGTTTTTGAGTGTTTGTTATAAAACACAAATTACTCCACTGGAAAACAAAATAAATAACTTATTTTTTATCTTTTATTGGTTTATGTGTGGCTTGATGGCTTTTTAACTTTGTTGACAATACAAACGCATTTAAACATTTGCTTTGTATCCGAAACAATTTGTGTTTTTGATGTAGTTCCATAGCATGATCGCTAGAGGGCAGTGGCGTCACATCGAAAACTTCACGACAGCTACTGTCGCTTTACGGCTGTGTTTTGAACTGCCGTAAAGAAGAACGCTACGGTCCGCAGAAGGTTAAAGTGACTTCAAACAAACACGGTAAATAAATGCACGGATTTAGTAGATATGTTACATTTGTGTATGAATTTTCACTTCCCGACGTGCATCTCTCCAACTCTGTCACAAAGACTCATCATGAGCAGATGTAACGCTACTTACGTGGGATTGTCCGATAGCTTCATGTTAGCATTACCATTAGCCGAATGTAGGATTAGGAGCATACTTTCATTAAATATTTTTTTTTCTTGTTATTAGTCGTCATTTTTCACATTTATACAAATTGGTGTCTGGAATATTCTCTAAGGCATATGTATTACGCGTTATTATGGTTGAGTAATAGCATTTACAAGTCAATAATTACTGTCATTCACAATAATTAAGTGTCATTCTTACTAGGTATCAAATCAACCTGTTTCCTTACGCATATATTTTCTTTAAAATTGTGACAAGTATATTAGCTGTTGACAAGCCTTTCGTTCACCGTATGACATTTGTGATAGGCTGCTGTCATCATTCATTTCTAGGTGTGAATTTTCTGTCAATTATTATTAGATTTTTTCTCAAATTTAATGATATTCTTCCCTAAGAACTGGAAAAACAGATAAATCACAACAGCTTTCGTCTTGGAGGACTTTACAAAGTTTGAATTCACCAATAACAGATTAGAGAATCAAAACAGTTTGAACACAGGAAATGCAATTATAAATGCCCCAGATCTTCACTGTCCTTAAGTCGGTGTACTGCTCTGTAAGTGTCTTCGAATCACATTTTGGAGTCTTTGTATAGAGCAGTTAGGTTATAGAATAGTTGACAATTATTAAAGAAAGTTGATAATTATAGCAGAGACACATGCATTTAAGACTGCACCAGGGCCCAGCTCCTTCTTCACATGAGCTGTTGTCGGTAGGATCCAGACGAGCAAGTAACACCAAAGTCCTAAAAGGCAGTGTATGTGGGGGGAGGACTGATAGAAAAACACAGTGTTAGCATAACTGAAGGTTTGGAAATGTACTTTAGCTCCTGTTCGTAGTAAATCAATATGCATTTAATTAGCTTTGCACTTGAAAACCAAACACTTGTTTCTTGTGTGTTTCAGCACCATGCCGTTCTTGGACCTGCAGTCTCGGCTGGGTATAAACCTGGACCAGTGGATCCTGCAGCAGAGTGGAGCTCAGCCCAACAAGCGCCCGGCACGCTGCCACGCCTTCGAGAAGGAGTGGATCGAGTGTGCGCACGGCATCGGACAGACGCGAGCCAAGAAGGAGTGTCAGATGGAGTTTGAGGACTTCTATGAGTGCATGCACCGGCAAAAGACGGTAGGTCAACGCACCCAGAGCCAGAATACAACCAAGGTTTTATGTATAGCACGTTCATACACAAGGAAACTCAGAGTGCTCAATACAACAAGATAGAAACTCCATACAGAGCATTGATGGTTGGACCTAATACTCGTGGGTTCGATCCCCCCACAACCCATGTCACCTGCTCCCACTGACGTCTGCTCTCGACACTTAACCCCACTTTGCCTGAAGCCCCCGCTGAAAGACCAAGGCCCTATCTTTGATGACGGAGAAGCCATCATCCTGTGGACCCACCACCTGCAGGAGGATCAGCGAGGGACTGGTGCTTTGAGACTTGGGTGCAGCTCGGATTGCCACCCCCCGACCCAGTTTTAAAAAGTTTCTCCTTGATGAATTGCAATAATACAATCATAAAAATCACCAGCACCTTGAGAAGGCCTTGTGGAATCTTGCAAACTGAGCAGCGGGTTCACCTGTGTTTCTAGCTGAAGTCTGCATACTGCTGACCCCAGAGCCAAAGAGAGAGTGTTTGGGAGAGATTCTGGGTTAGTGCCTGGAAACTACCCCTGGCTCAATCAATGGATCCTTGATTACCACCCCCTTCCTAATCTACTCTGACAAATATCGATCTTTTAACTCAGCTGCAAACTCGCATCTTTTAACTCAGCTATTATCCCAATATTTAAAAAGCTGCTGAAATCTTCTATAAAGAGTTTCCAGTTTCATGTTTACATTTGTGTTTTAGTAAAGCACCAAACGGACGCTCTCCTCTCTGTGACGTGGCATTGATCGTTCCCTACAGAGTTTTATTGATGAGGAAGTCCATTTCGCAGCAGGACCAAACTCTCATCCGCGAGCTGCTTTATCGCCACCAGTTGTTATATAATGTAGTATTTAGAGATTTGAACTCATGTCTCAAATGGTAAAGATGGACAAAAGTTAGAGAATCAGTAATATTTTTTTATTTAATGTTATATTTATATATGTTATATTTTCCGTTTTTTTTTCAGTTTTTGTCCTGATCTTTTAAAGAATGAATGATTGAATATATAGAATGCCATATTCTGCCCTCTCCGCCAGAGAATTAGAGAACGAGATAAAAATAAATTAGTAATATGTTTTTTTGGAAGTTTATTTTTGTATAGCACAGTTCATACCCAAGGACACAGCATCAACTACTGTTTTTAACCTGGATTTGAACACTGCCAGAGTAGAGGCCTGTCTCACAATTTCAGGAAGACTGTTCTGTAATTTAGCGGCCTAAACCTGAGACATGACTTATTCCTCAAAAATATAATTGTTTTTGCCTTATTGACAGTGGAGTGTGATTTTTTTTTTTGGTGTATTTTCTTTGATGTTAAACGGATGTGGTTAGCACTCTCGGCTCTCACCAAAAAGGTCCTGGGTTCGAATCCCGATCAGAACAGGGCCTTTCTGAGTGCATTTTGTCTGTTCTCCCCATGTCTGCACGTGTTTCCTCCTGGTGGAAACATGACGGTCTCACGACGGTCTAAACCCGGCTCACGTTCCCCATTAGTGGGTCCGATCCAACGCTTGGTGAATTCTGCTTCACAACGACAGGAAGAGCTGACATCGAAGGATTGATTGATTGATTGATTTTTTTATTTCGAGCTACACAACACACAACACAGGCACAAAAGTCAGAAAAAATAAACGAAAAATAATTAACATTCTAGCTCGAAAAGGAGTGGGAAGAAGACAAGCTTATTGACTCCCACCCCTGTTCGTAAACTTAAATAATAATGTGGTTGCAACAGTAACAATGTTTAGTTCTTAGTATCTTACAAAACAATGAAGTTGGTTACATATTTACAGATTAAGTCAACATTCATAGTATGTTACACTTTATAACAAGTTTATAATTTTGTTTCCTATACCCATTTTATTACCGTATTACTGTTATTCACCATCATCATTATCACTACAGCCCATCAAGTTTTGAGAAGTGGAAGAATACTGCATAGATCGACTTTTACCTGTTGTTTTTACATATTTATTCATGTCGTCCTCCTTGCATATATGGCAGCTGATCCTCTCCCAATGCTCACTTCTTCTGTACATAAACATCTCCAATACGTCCCTCAATTTCACCTTTCCCAAACTTCTGACCCTAATCGCCTAGCCCTCCTGCTGGGACTCTGAGGAGCACAGGGACTGGCCTCCTGCTGAGACTCTGAGGAGCACAGGGACTGGCCTCCTGCTGAGACTCTGAGGAGCACAGGGACTGGCCTCCTGCTGGGACTCTGAGGAGCACAGGGACTGGCCTCCTGCTGAGACTCTGAGGAGCACAGGGACTGGCCTCCTGCTGGGACTCTGAGGAGCACAGGGACTGGCCCCCTGCTGGGATTCTGAGGAGCACAGGGACTGGCCTCCTGCTGAGACTCTGAGGAGCACAGGGAATGGCCTCCTGCTGGGACTCTGAGGAGCACAGGGACTGGCCTCCTGCTGGGACTCTGAGGAGCACAGGGACTGGCCTCCTGCTGGGACTCTGAGGAGCACAGGGAATGGCCTCCTGCTGGGACTCTGAGGAGCACAGGGAATGGCCTCCTGCTGGGACTCTGAGGAGCACAGGGAATGGCCTCCTGCTGGGACTCTGAGGAGCACAGGGACTGGCCTCCTGCTGGGACTCTGAGGAGCACAGGGACTGGCCTCCTGCTGGGACTCTGAGGAGCACAGGGACTGGCCTCCTGCTGGGACTCTGAGGAGCACAGGGACTGGCCTCCTGCTGGGACTCTGAGGAGCACAGGGACTGGCCTCCTGCTGGGACTCTGAGGAGCACAGGGAATGGCCTCCTGCTGGGACTCTGAGGAGCACAGGGAATGGCCTCCTGCTGGGACTCTGAGGAGCACAGGGAATGGCCTCCTGCTGGGACTCTGAGGAGCACAGGGACTGGCCTCCTGCTGGGACTCTGAGGAGCACAGGGAATGGCCTCCTGCTGGGACTCTGAGGAGCACAGGGAATGGCCTCCTGCTGGGACTCTGAGGAGCACAGGGAATGGCCTCCTGCTGGGACTCTGAGGAGCACAGGGAATGGCCTCCTGCTGGGACTCTGAGGAACCCTAACCCTAACCCATCGAAGGATCAAGACCAAGCTTTGAGAAGTGGAAGAATACTGCATAGATCGACTTTTAATAATAATAATAATAATAATAATACATCAGTTTTATATAGCGCTTTTTCAAGGACTCAAAGACGCTTCACAAATTCATGACACAAACACACACGTTTAGACAGACACACAAGCTAAAAATCTAAGAGTGAGACTTTTACCTGTTGTTTTTACATATTTATTCATGTCGTCCTCCTTGCATATATGGCAGCTGATCCTCACCCAATGCTCACTTCTTCTGTACATAAACATCTCCAATACGTCCCTCAATTTCACCTTTCCCAAACTGTATATGATTTTTGTTTTGACAATCGTCCCTGTGCCTTTGCTCCGCAGTTTCAAAGACTGTACACGATCCGCCAGCAGCGAGACAAGATGGTGAAAGAAGGAACCTACACGCCTCCTCCGTGTCACTCAGGAGCCGGAGACGAGTGACTCCAGGCCCCTGCTCCTCTGTATAGTAATAATCATTCACTGCCCATCGCTTTTCTCTGCAAATAAATGTTCTATCTCTATCTACCAACGATGTGTTTCTGTGATTATATAGTTATTGTAATAGGCTCATTAGACAAACGTGTCGAGAGTGTGTTAATGTAAGATAAGAGAACCTTTATTGTTCCCAACAGTCGGGAAACGCAGCGGATATACTGGACAGAGAGCACACAACATAAGGTGAAGAATAAAAATAAAATAAAATCTCTGACTCAAGCATAAAAAGAAGCCGTCTACAATCTCTATTTTTAGCACGATAAGGAAGGACGTCTAAAATCTTCCACTTTAGGAAGAGGAAGCAAGACTTACAAAATCTCTGACTTATTAAGCATAATATCAACAGAGATGTTAGGTGTATGTTGTAATTATAGCTATATAGGTATAGTTTTATTTTATTCTATTTTGTCATCTTACTTCATATTTTATTACCTATTATCTTACATAATAGACCCTGTTTGTAATGTGCGCAACGAATGAAGGCATATCTTATCTTAAATCTTATAATGGGTAAAACATTTTATTATTGAACCATGATTAACTTAAAAATGTAAACCTTGAGTTGAAACTACAAAACAGACCACCCCAGAAGTTGAATAATAATTTGTTTTTAACATTTGTGACTCTTTCCCTTATGATATATGTGGTATTTCTTTATATTTGGGTAAACTCAGAATAGACATGGAGGATTCAATCTCCATGGTCTCCTTCTGTCTCAGTCTAGAATGATCAATAAACTACTAACCCACCGACCTGAGCTCAGTGAACCGTGGGAATCTGGATAAAGGCTCCCAGGAGACACTGCAGGACCACACTGAGGAGAGACAGAGGGACGGACCCTTTTGACGTCTTCAAGTCAATAACCTGGATTTAGTGAAGTGCGATGGGAATATCCTCGACCTCAAGGTGGCGCCATAACCTCGACCAAAGCAATGGGAGAAGGCAAAAAGAACATTCCTGAAAAGCTGAAGGGCATGTGAAGATATGTATAATCACTGTTGGGTGGTTCAGATCTAAAATATGTTTTGTAAAGTTTTTCGTTGCTTTGGAAAAAGTAGTACCTGCATTTCGAATACTTTGATTTATACTTTTAATTATTGTTTTTGTGTTATTTATAAAAATAAAAAAAATATAAAAATGTTATTTATTGTAAATTAATGTTTATTTACAAAACGTACAAAGGCACATATCAAAAATATTTAAAACCACAAAACAATCTGTAATTATTTGGTAATTTAGTAAAACAAGTCGAAGTGCTTCAACAGCTGAAATACCCAATATTTAACTTTAAAATGTTATGTGAGAAATTATCTATTCCCGTGATTTTCAGAGAGTAACTGTAATCTATATACTAGACTTTAAAGTATAGTAACCCTAAGGGAATACACTTACTCAGAAAAAGTATTCCGATTATGTGATGAGATTACATGTATTCTGCTACTCCCCATGTAAGATAAAAGATGCAGAGGTTGTGGTTGGTGCTTAAAGCTGGGGTACCTAACTTTCAAAATACCGAAAATAGAACAACTATCAAATTTTTACTTTCAAAACAGTTTTATAACCAATGTATAACTCGTCTCTCATTCATGTTTTTGTGGCCTCTCTCACAGCTTTACACAAGCTATTTCCAAACAGACAAGTGAGAAAGAGAGGACCCTCCGCAGTCGGCCAATCAGCTCTCAGCAAGTGACTCACAAGGCTCTATGTTATGTTTATGAGAGACTGCAAGTATGCGAAAGATTATAAGCAAGTTAAGTTACAGGCAAGTTAAAGAAGCTATACCCGATTTATTTTCTTATGAGTTCATAAAAATGCTTATTACTACATACGAGTTGTATTATAATCCGTAATTGAATTGAAAACTTGAGCTCATTGATTCAGCTGTGTATGAATGTATGAAGTAGAGACTTTAGCGTGACGCCCGCTCTCCTCCAATCACAGAACGAGGCTGCGTCCTCTAGCCTCTACAGCGCTGCTAAACACAGTAGCATGTTAGCATAAGTGGCTATAACTCCTCTGGCTGTAACTGCAGACACAGCAAAACAGCCCAAACCACACAACAGTGAAGAAGAGAAGAAGGAACTAAAGCCAAAAAATGATCAAAGAAGAAATCAAGCCCTGAACAGAGCTAGCTTACATCGTATCCTCTGGAGAGACTTGTCTATGGGAGAGATCTGCGGGACCGCCTCGGACTACCTATGCTCGGACTTGGACTATCCACGCTCGGACTATCTACGCTCGGACTACATTTGGACACAAAACTAGCGGTAATCTTTCAGTTATATATTTTGTTTGTACCATTTCATCAGTGATTGTTGTACAGCTTAAGTTGCGCTAATGCTAATGTTTGCATCATAGACTGTATATATTAACGGACGTAGTCATGCCTATCTCCACCGTTCTAACTAATGGGCAAAAAATTTTGCTTTTTACTGGAGCTATCCAAAATGGCTGCGAGTGGTCCCGCTCACAGGAAAATTGTGAAAAAACGCAGCTGCGCATTTGTCAGCCGGCGAAAGCTCCATTCATTTGAACGAGAGACTTAAAAAATTCATAGCGACTAAACTAGAGTGGTCCAAAAAAATCCACCCCCCTCAGCATTGACACACATGTGGAACGGAGCTTTGGGCCAAGAGCGACCTTTGGTCCATCCTGTAAAGACGTTTTTGAGAGGTCTGCCAATGCTATATGTTAGCATTGGCTAATTCTACTTCTGGGTCCACCCCCATCGGCCCGGGGTGGTATTGCAGCATGTCATTTTGGCCACTTTTGAGCCGGGACCCGCCCCCACTGGTTTGCATATGTATTAGATTGCAAATAAAACTAGATGGCTCCGTGGAATGAGAGCGTAGGGGAAAAGAGAATCCTGTGAGCGAGTTGGGGGCGGTGCCAAACATTCGAACCTTGCAGAAACGGGTATAGCTCCTTTTATAAATAAAACATGCATTTGTTTCATGAACCAAAAAGTGAAGTACCCCAGCTTTAATTGCCACATTCTTGCTAGGCCTGAATTGCACATATCATTTTCCAGGGACGTGTCTACCATCAAATACATGTAAAGATAAATATTTTTTAAGTCTGAGTTCCTTTGCTTCAGTTATAGCAACTATGATTCTAAAAGTGGCTTCTATTAAAGCTTTCTCCTGAGGTGTTGTTTGACAGTGAGAGAAGTGTTTTATGGCTCTCAATGTCAGGAATAAAAACATCCAAATTAAACATGAAATTGGGATGAGACAAGAGTCTTCGCCTGCTGCTGGTAAATGGAAATCCCTCAAAGTCCATTCAAATTGTTAGGATCGTGTGTGTGTGTGTGTGTGTGTGGGTGCTTTTGTTTGTGAAAAATAATTAACACAAATGCTAACTCTAATCCCCTGTACCGTCTGAAATGACCTATTGCTTGTGTTTGCTGACCTCACTCATCACCATTAGCTGCTGTGACAATAAATCCCCCATAATCCTACACAACTGGACTTTGGTGAGGACCAGACCTGGTGCCCCCTCCGCTCCTCAGGGGGCGCAAAAAGAACCAAAACAGGTGAAGCCACTGGGAGATCTGTAAAAAAAAAAGTTAATTAAACTACGACAGAAAACAATAGAGCACATTAAGAGACATGGATGAGGCAATGAGCCTCAGTCCTGGGTCTACAGCCTCAGTCCTGGGTCTGCAGTCAGTCCTGGGTCTACAGTCTCAGTCCTGGGTCTACAGCCTCAGTCCTGGGTCTACAGCCTCAGTCCTGGATCTACAGCCTCAGTCCTGGATCTACAGTCTCAGTCCTGGGTCTACAGCCTCAGTCCTGGATCTACAGTCTCAGTCCTGGGTCTACAGCCTCAGTCCTGGATCTACAGCCTCAGTCCTGGATCTACAGTCTCAGTCCTGGGTCTACAGCCTCAGTCCTGGATCTACAGTCTCAGTCCTGGGTCTACAGCCTCAGTCCTGGATCTACAGCCTCAGTCCTGGATCTACAGCCTCAGTCCTGGGTCTACAGCCTCAGTCCTGGATCTACAGCCTCAGTCCTGGGTCTACAGCCTCAGTCCTGGATCTATAACCTGTCCTATTTCTTTTATTTTTTACATTAATGGACATTTATGGACATGGGCAGTGGTCATCCCGCTCTCTATGAACCAACTGCTTCTGTGTGTTTGTTATTATTGAATTTCCGGTTGTTCAACCTTTTTATTCTCGGTTCTGTTGTTGGCAAATTGACAACTGTTCACTGAAGGGTCGCCACATTTCTTTCATTCGGCCCCAGGGCAGCTGCAGCAACACACACTGCAGCAAAAGGTTTGTACATTCAGCACAAAATAAGTTCTATACTAGTTTTTTAGCCTTGTGCTGTTTCTTATGTAACCAACATTCCTCCATACATTCCAATCGTTTTGTTCCAATTGTTCATTTATAACTTATTTTATTGGCATATAAATGTATATATCTCTCTTCTACCACATGATAAGGCATTGACCTCCTGCCTTTTTGCCTCTCCCAGTCCAGGCAACTGTCAAACCCCCAGATGTGACGTCTTTTTCCCCCAGCTGTTCCCGGGGAGGAGGAGGAGGAGTAGGAGGAGAGAGAGAGAGCGCGTTTTACAGATTACTGGGACATTACACCATCAACTCCTCACTGCTGCTGGTTACGTAAACGACCAGCGTTACATCCAGCAGCACGTTCCCTCTGTGGAATAAATGAATGACTAGAAAAAAAAGAAAAACCACGTGAACGCCCTGAATTCAATGCCACAAAAATGTCGTAAAACCCCAATGGGAGAATCCACTTTGAAACGTCGCTGCTTCAGACTTGGGTTAATAATGCAGCGTGGGATCTTTTCAACGCTAAAGAAAGTGTGAAAGAAAGAGGGAGAAAAGGGTCAGGGAAAGGGAGGAGGGTGGACATCGGGCCGGTGGGGGTTGGAGAGGGAGAGAGGGAGACACAGAGAGAGAGAGAGACGCTGGAAGAACCATTTCTAGTACACGCCGTATTCCATCGCACTGGCTGCTTCCAATTTCGGCTTGAAAAGGCTGGTTTTCGCCTCGCCTTTTCCTTCTCTCATCCCGTGCCGTCTCATGGCAGGACATCGTGGACTATAAGCCTGACGTTTGGAGCGTGATTTCATCCAGGAGGGGAGGCATAGCGGCGGCGGTGGAAGCAACAGCATCTCCCCGGCCTCTCACGCTCTGCGCCCGGACACAAGGAGGTGAGAGAAGCGCTGTTGGATTTCCACATCATATCACCGTTTTTTGCATAATCAGAGATAACAAAAAACCTGTGGAGTAGCCTGTGTCATGCGTGTGTTTACTATCAAAACGACAGCTTGGATACATGGGTTGACAATATTGACAAACAAGCTGTGGGTTAGAATATTCAGAACAGATGCAGGCGACTTCCATAACCTGCCATATGTTATCTCTACAATGTAAAGGCATTTTTTAAGTACGAGATCAACACCAAGACATGACATGTGTAAGTGTTTTAGTGAGTTAGACCTAAATTAACAAGATTTATAGGTCGTGAATGAGCTGCACTGAGTATAGTCTGTATACAGCATATACTCTACTTTCCCAAATGGATAAATGTGATTAGTTTGCAGCAGTGAGGTAAAGAATCCCCAGCCCATGCCCAATGCAGTGGAACCACAGTTGAACAAAGAGGCAGATGAAGTGTGCTGGCCGTCTGCAAAAGCTCAAAAAGCCGAACTGGTGGTGACTAGTGCTCATGCATGCAGACACATTCCTACCATCCAATTCAATAGAAACACAGCCAAAGCGTGCCAGCGTTACGCACATGGCGAGGCACTCCAACACAGCAGCATTCGTATCGATTTGAGCTCCAGGCGATTAAATATAAGAGGTCTTTTCTATTGTCATCACCTCCACTTGTTTTAAAATGCATCCCGGAGGAGTCTTCACCGCTGCCCGTCTGTCTGAATGGTAATACGCTTGGCCTATGGGTGTTTAGAATCCTTGTAGCAGAGACTCAAGCAACAAGGGGGAAGAGAAAAAAAAAATCATGTTTGTAGTCGGGGTTCCCTCCTGCAGGCCTGGAGCAGATGGTCTCCCCGTGTAGAGTGTGGTTCTCAGCTCCTCATATTGAGCCAAACGCATTCACTGGGTCATATTTATACTGCATATATTTATTAGATTAGGAGTCACGTGTGTGGTTTTGTAGATGACCGTATTTGGAGACAGAATCAGGTGATGCGTTACAGTGGCATGGCTTATCGTGATTTGTGAGGAGAGAAACAAACAAGCCACACTGGGTCACGAGAAGATTTTGTGCTGATTAAATAGAATAGGTTTTGATTGATTTCTGATTCGGATCTACAGCCCCGTTTCCACCAGCCCTACTGTTTGTATAATCTACTTCTATGTGTATTGTTTCATTGTATGTTTTAAATGTACTTTGTGATCCTTCTCTGGGAAAGGCCCTATTTTCTGTCCCATTGAGATTAAAAGAACCTCTTTTTCAAGGGAGTCCTGAACAAAAGTTACACACAGTTACAGAAAATTAAAGATTCTAAAAATGGTTACACACAATTTAATAAAAATACGGATTATAAAAACAGTTGCATGTCAATGAGGATGTCTAAAGTCCTCTCAGTCTGGATTTAAAAGCATTCAATGAAATGCAAATACACTTTTAGGCACTGACTTGTGTGTTTTTAATCTGACTTTTTATTTTTATTCTGACTTGTATGTGTATTTTATGTGTTTTAACGTGTGAAGCGCTTTGTGATCCTGGTCTGTGAAATGCGCTATACAAATAAACTTTACTTACTTACTTACTGCTCTACTAGCTGTACTCCTGGTTGCGTTTCCATTACGTTTTAGTATCTGGTACCTTATCCTAGCAACCTACCCACAACAAACCAGTATCCAGGAATCGTAATGATTTATTCTTGGTCATTTCTTGGTAACAATGGCTTCCAGCAGCCCTCTGTCTAAGTTTAGTTTAGTTTATTTGAGGACAATGTGCAGTTACATTAAAAAGATGGCCAACTTCAACCAAAACAAATCAAAAACCAGGTTAGAAGTTTTTCAGGTTGGCTTTATATTTATTTAGAAAGTGCATTTTAGGTGTTTATTATGAAAGCAGCAATGGTAAACATACAATCCACAGCCTCTCCCATCCTAGTAAAAAAAAAACATATTAGATTATATTATATTAAGATTAAAAGATCATTCATAGGTCCCACAGTGGGAAAATGTCAGTGTTGCATCACCAGTTACAGACCTGTATGAGGAGCACACAGCACAAGATGAATGAACAATAACTCTATACTAAATAAAATAGTATAACATCTATAGCTTTAGCTTTAGCATAATAAGGAAGCAATCTCCCTAATATCTCCAAATCGCCTTCCCTCAAACCAAAGGCACATTTAACCCTATGAAAAAAATTACATTAAAGGTGCAGTAAGCGACTTTGTTAGCTTAGCCATAGCACCAAATGGAAACCACTCCCCCTCCCCTCCCCTCGCCTCTCCACCAAACCAAACATCCAGCATTGTTTTTTCATTTGTCACAACAGGGAGAATGGGCAGCAAACGTGAAATTGGCATTTTCTGTTCAACCCTTTAAAGGTTTCGAAAATAATCCGACAACTCAGGTGCACTCGCGAGAAACAGGAAGAAGGTGAAGGGGGTAAACACATCCCATTGGTTCATTTTTATTGGTCCGCTCCAAAATATGTTTTATTAATTTTTAGAGACTATAGACATCTGGTCAACGATAACTTGATACTTTTATGGTTTAAGGACGTTTTCCCACATTATTTAAAAAAAAAATGCGTCTGGAAAAAATCACTGACTGCATCTTTAAATCAATAATAAAAGCAAATTGATCTCAAACAAATAGCCAAATATATGAGAACTTAATTAGATTCTCAGAACAATAAATAAATATGGACAAAAAGCTCCAACAGGTATGCTTAATAGTAATAGTATTATAGTATTACAGTTATGAGTTTGCTATAATTTTCTGCTCCCACTCTTGAATATGTGTTTATGACTGGGCTAAAAACACGTCCACAAAACCCCATTGCTTCAGTCTGATGTCTTCTTCCGCTGCTATCGATCCTGAACTCTGCGACTTTGGACCTTTAGACGGTGATGTGTGAATCAGCTGCTTTGAAGTTCTGATCGAAAACATTACATCGCTCTCTGCTCAAAAATGCACTGTAAGAAAAATGGAGAAAGCATAAGCAGTTATTAAGAATTTATAAACAACAGCAGCATCTTTTAGGACGAGAATCACTATTGGTATCGGGCAGCATGCAGTCAATTTATACATGTGAAACTCTGAAAATGTTAGTAGTTTTTTTAGTAGTAGTAGTAGTAGTAGTAGCAGGAATAGTAGCAGGAGTAGTAGTAGCAGTAGCAGGAGTAGTAGCAGGAGTAGTAGTAGTAGTAGTAGCAGGAATAGTAGCAGGAGTAGTAGTAGCAGTAGCAGGAGTAGTAGTAGTAGCAGGAGTAGTAGCAGGAGTAGTAGTAGCAGTAGCAGGAGTAGTAGCAGGAGTAGTAGTAGCAGTAGCAGGAGTAGTAGTAGCAGTAGCAGGAGTAGTAGCAGGAGTAGTAGCAGTAGCAGGAGTAGTAGTAGCAGGAGTAGTAGTACCAGTAGCAGGAGTAGCAGGAGTAGGAGTAGCAGTAGCAGGAGTAGGAGTAGCAGTAGCAGGAGTAGGAGTAGCAGTAGTAGGAGTAGCAGTAGCAGGAGTAGGAGTAGCAGGAGTAGGAGTAGCAGTAGCAGGAGTAGTAGTAGCAGGAGTAGTAGTAGCAGTAGCAGGAGTAGGAGTAGCAGGAGTAGGAGTAGCAGTAGCAGGAGTAGTAGTAGCAGTAGCAGGAGTAGGAGTAGCAGTAGTAGGAGTAGCAGTAGCAGGAGTAGGAGTAGCAGGAGTAGGAGTAGCAGTAGCAGGAGTAGTAGTAGCAGGAGTAGCAGTAGCAGGAGTAGTAGTAGCAGTAGCAGGAGTAGCAGTAGCAGTAGCAGGAGTAGTAGTAGCAGTAGCAGGAGTAGGAGTAGTGGTGGTAGCAGCAGGAGTATTATATTCTTAATATAATAAATATATTCTTCCGAGTGTCTGTATTATCAACTATAGCCTCAAATTGGTGAGTTGTGTGAGGCAAATGCTTCAGAAGAGCACATTAAAAACACAGATACAATCTTGGTAAGATTTATTTACTAAAAATAACATAAATTATGGTTATTTTTTAAATGGCAAGTTTTATTTTTATTTTTATTGAATGCAGTTTGTCATGTCTTAAACTATAGTTTTAAGATAATAATACTTCATAATCTTATTAGAGAAAAATGTCTGAGTTTTTAAGCTTGTTTTAAGTATGTTTTCTTATTTCTTACAACCTTTCTTGTTGTTTGGATCAAATATGTATGTCCTGCTATATTTAAGTAAACAAGTAAGTTCAAGTAAAAAATACTTGCAATGTACGATTTTAAACTAGAATCAAGTCATTTGGGGCCAGTATTATTTTCTTATTTTCGTAAATCATATCAAGTCACATTTTCTTGTTCTATTGGCAGATAATTTTTTTTATTATTTTAAGTAGTATTTTACATATTTTCTAATATTTTTTCTCATTTTACTGAAGGGATTTCTTCCAGTGTTGTCTGTCCTTAATTCTTATGAAGTGGTGTGAGAGAAAGATCGATGTCTGTGTGCGGCCAGAGAAGCAACACACTAACATTTTTCTGTTAACCCCTTCTCGGAGTTAGTGCTGAGGTCTGTGACAATTTTTTTCAGCGTTGGACCGAGTTTGATCTCGTCAGTCTCGTCAGTGTTGGACCGAGTTTTATCTCGTCAGTCTCGTCAGTGTTGGACCGAGTTTGATCTCGTCAGTCTCGTCAGTGTTGGACCGAGTTTGATCTCGTCAGTCTCGTCAGTGTTGGACCGAGTTTGATCTCGTCAGTCTCGTCAGCGTTGGACCGAGTTTGATCTCGTCAGTGTTGGACCGAGTTTGATCTCGTCAGTCTCGTCAGTGTTGGACCGAGTTTGATCTCGTCAGTCTCGTCAGTGTTGGACCGAGTTTGATCTCGTCAGTCTCGTCAGTGTTGGACCGAGTTTGATCTCGTCAGTCTCGTCAGTGTTGGACCGAGTTTTATCTCGTCAGTCTCGTCAGTGTTGGACTGAGTTTGATCTCGTCAGTCTCGTCAGTGTTGGACCGAGTTTGATCTCGTCAGTCTTGTCAGT